CCGTGAGCTGATAGAGCCTGGGGCTTAAGAGGCAGATGCACGCTCAGGGTCAGTTCAGGAAAATTCCAAAATTTGAAAAGAGGTAGGTAGTTTCTCTAAGAAGCTAAGTGTTGTGAATGGAGACTTGAAACCAACATGGCTATTTTTGTCACCTGGGAGATGTCGTTGGGGGTGAGTCCACTCTCAGTGAAGGCGGAGCTTAGCGACAGGACAGGGAGGCAGAGGCACTAGCCCATTATCTGAGCTTCTTATCACGTTGTGTGTGACCTATGTTCATCCTTGAAATCCTCAGTCTTTGGAGCCAGGGTTTTGTTAAAACGGGTTTCATATAAGATCCTGGTCCTGATCCCCAAGGAATCCTGACAGAGACGCATAGAGAACTTTCTGCAAGGAATTTATTTCAGACAGAGACAGAACACTGAGAACAAGCAGAGGGGTAATGACGGGCCTCTCCTAGGTCTCAAGGGATCGGGTGATGTTTTTCGTTAATCTGATGCTCAGAGGCAGCAGAATATGTAGAGCTTGTTACCCTTTGTGCAGATCCCATGGATGGGGTCCTGGAAATGACGGATCTGCTCCTACAGTGTCAAGCCAAGACCTACCTTAGGCCTGGGGGACAGCAAGTGCCAGGCACTGGGTTCCGGGGTCGGTGGTGGAGGTCAAGTGGACCTGGAACAGGTGCCTGCTGCATGTGGTGGGTCTGTCACGAGGCTGCGTTACAGCTGGCAGCTCCATCAACTCCACCCCCCAGGAATAAACGTCCTGCCAAGAGTTGCTCACGTCTGAGATCCCTTCTCCCCTGACTTCACTTCTTAATGGTTCTGCATGTGATATGCAGTCTCACGCCACCTCTGGAACCTGAGACCTCTTCTAGTCAACTAGGTCCCCTGTCAGTAGTGTGTGTGTTTCTGTCCAGAGAGAACAAGGCAGTGCATTCCTCTTCATCACCAACCCAGTCTGGAATCAAAAGTCTTCAGAGAAAGAACAATCTTGTAGGTTTATCTCACTGTCACTGATACTTAACAAAAAAAAAAAAAAAAAAAAAAAAAAAAAAAAAAAAAAATCAAGGCCCACTGAAGCAAAAACCAAGTCCCCAAAGTGCCCTGAGTGGAATAGTCACAGTTCCCAAGCCTGTCTCCACTTCTTCCGCTGCTCTCCATCCCTGAACCATGGTGGGGACTCTCACCTGCTCTCTGAAGACCAGGGGCCTCAGGCCCGGCAAAGGAGATGGCCATGTCCTGGTCCTCCTCATTGTCCCTATGGTCTGGGGCCTCCTCATGGTTTTCTGGGAGAGGCTCAGCCTGGGCCTGGAGGGCCAGCAGGAGAAGGGCAGCGAGGAGGGCGAGGGTCCTCATGGCTGGAGTCACTGGAGGAGAGGAGGCAGGGGCCTGAGTGTGAGTGGAGCGAGGAGCCGGCTGCATTTATAGGTGTGCGAGGAGCAGGCTCAGGGCTCGAGGCTGTGTTCAGAGAAGGTGCGTTGGATGGGGAGGAGGAGGCCGCCCTTGTCCTCACGTCCCCTTGATGTTACACTGCTCTTGCACCTTTCGTCAGCTTGGCCGGGCAACTTGAGCTTCCGTCCCAGGTGCAAGCTGACGCTGATGTACAGGCCTGCTGTCTTTCCTGTCTGCCATCTGCTTGAACATTTAAATTTCAACATTCAAAAAAATTAAGAAAGGACTTTGGTTCAATAAGTTCAGGGAACAAAGGCCTCTTGTGTTCTGAAGATGCATCTTGCTTCTCAGATCCTGAGTCCAGATCTGGACCCCTGTGGAGTCGAGAATCAGGTCTTTGTGGGGTTGGGGGCATTACCACCCCCACAAAGAGGGATTTGATGAATGTCTTCTTTGGGGCCATTGTGGAGAGGGCAAGATGACCTCATCATGTGTCAGGCATTATGAAGAGCTCAGTAGGCAGTGTCTCTCAGAATGAAGGATGGCAATGCTTTATTTCAAGAAGCAACTTGATTTGTCGCAGTTAACTTCTTTCACTCCAGGAAATATCAGAACATTTGTGATGACAAAGCCCCCTTCCGAGAACTTTGATTTCATTTTTATATCAGAAACATTTAACTCATGCACCAGGAACAAAATTCTAAACAGAAATATTGATGGGCTCCTGTCCCTAATCCCAGTCATTCAAGGAGATATTTCTGTTCCGGGGAATGGCCACCATTCGCAAGTACACTTTCCTGCACTTTGGCTTCTTTTTCAAACTATTGCTTTACTTTGAATATTTTTTATATTAAAACATATAGAACTTTTTCATTTTAATACATGTATACTATTCCACTGTTTGTGCTTTCAACTATTTACATTAGATATTATGCTGTTTAATTGTGACAATTTAGTTACTCATGAACTTTTGTAATTAGTAGGAAACAGGAATGGATATCATCTACATATACATATATGAACATATATATATGTATATATCATCGAACTCATAAGTAACAATATATGTTTCTAGAGTAGAATTTGTGGGTCAAAAACACGTTTTATTTTAGGAATATATTAATATGGAAATATTAATATTTAACATCAATATTAAATTATTAATAGGAATATGACTACATTGTCCCTTATAGAGTTTGTCCCAGCAGCACTTACAAAACTATCTATGCCCAACTGCTTCCATGCCCAATGGACCATGATTCCCAGGGTCCTTCTCCAATTTCCACTGTCCTTTCTGCTGCCCATGTTCAGGGCGGCACTGTGGACATAGAAAATGTTTGATGCCACAAAGGATTTTCAGTGTAGGGTGTGGTAAACAGAGTGCTGACCTGTAAAACCTAACTCCTAAGAAGGAGATCCTCGCCTAATGAGATGAATTTTTGTCTTTGCGTCATATTCTTTGTTTTCTTGTTTTGTGATTGTCTTCCTATTTCTTCGGGACCTGGGAAGCAGGCGGGTTGCAGCGGCTGTCCTCACAGTGGCCAACAACTGTGGCTCAGAATGGATGACAGAGCAGGCAGGTGCAGGACCCATGGTTCAGCCGTTACTCATGGCCTGGCTCGCCAGCGTCTCGTTTGTCGTGATCTGGGACTAATCAGACCTTTGCTTTCTGAAGCCACTGTATTTTTGGGTTTCTTAGTCATCGTGGAGAAAGCTGTCAGATATACATGTTATGAACTTTGTTCATCTTTCCCCGTCTAATAGGTAAAAATGGATCCTGAGGTTCACTGCTGGTTTACATTTCTCGTTCAAATTGGAGAAAAAAGTCTGCATGCCTGTTTAGCACTTGCACTTAGGTGTCTTGAGTTGCAGACAGAAGGCCTCCCACCTTGGGGCTCCTGGCATTGGTGCTGTGGGTGGTCACGGCAGCATCTCATCCCATCTTATTGTCTGGGTCAAGAAGAATCTCTCATAAACATTTTTTCTACACATTGTCGGCAGAACCCGGTGTTTGGTTTCCCTTGATTTCATAAGACAGTTATTTTTGATGTTAAGCTCAAGTTTGTTCACATTTGAACACTGTCTTGGCTCTTCCCTCCATCTCCACTCCTTCTGGCCTCTTAGAAACTCCCTTTAAGTCACTGACCTTCAACCCAACTGTATGACTCAGGATTTCCTCTGGGAGTGCTGCTGGTGGCAAGCTATCTTGCTGGTGACAATCTAATTACACTTAACTGTTTAAGTCTTAGCTTAGAAGATGAGTTCAGTGGATGTGGAATTTGAGATGGCTGCT